CTAAGCACTCCCTGCATAGTCTCCCTTGCTCTGACAGCAGCTTTCCAAGAAAGCCACTGTCACCTTTTTACAGAGGGGGAGGGTTACAGAGGGGGAAGCAACCTTCATTTTACACTCAGCGAAGTTAAAGACCTTCCCAAGTCACACAGCTGGCTGGTCACAGCTGGACTTGGCCTGGAGCGCCAACTCCCAGACGCCAAGCCCACACCTGGAGCCCACTTCAGTCCACAGCAGTCCCCCTCAAATCCTGTTTCCGAGTCAGCTTTTCCAGGGGAAGAACATTTACTTCATCACAACCTCTTTTGTCCCTAGCAAGGCATGATGGCCCATGCCTGTAATCCTTGTTCTCTGGAAGGCTGAGTCAGGAGGATTACAAGTTCCAATCCTAGCCTGGGCAAGTTAGCAGCTTAGCAAGACCCTGTCTCAAAATAGCAAGATTAAAAAGTGACTGGGGCTGTAGCTCAGGGTGAAGGCCTCGGGTTCCATCTCCAGCACTGGCGGCAGAGGAGCCTCTGGGCTGTGGGCCCAGGCTGTGAGGGACCCAGGCTGCTGTCTCCAGGCTGCCGTTCCCCTGCTCTGTGCATGCCCAGTAGCTGGGGCCACAGACCAGACCCCATCACAGTCCTCGGGGCTCACAGTCTCGGGGTGAAGAGTGAGGAAGGCAGAGGCTACTCTGTGCAGGGCCCACAGGAGAACCCAAGAGGTGTCAGAGAGACTGGCACAGGCCACAATGGCACCGCAGCTGCCACTTCATGCCCACTCTGAGCAGGTGCTGGCGGGATACCCCGTGGTGCTGGACAAGCTGCAGAACCGGGTGGTCGGCTACGGCTCGGAGCTGTCTGACATGACGGTCATGTCCCAAGATGCCATGATGATTACAGATGAGGTCAAGGTGAGCCCGGCCCAGGGCTGTACCCCACGGCTGTCCCTCTGGGAGAGGCCACTGTGCACAGAAGCCACAAGGTGAACGTGGCCAAGCGGGGCCCCTCTGACCCCGTCTGCTGCAATGCCTGCGACGTTCTGGGACACAGCAGACTTGCCAGGGGCAGGGCAGGCCCAACCATGTTCATGAAGGGCTCCTGGGCCGGCCGGTAAGAGTGTAAGGGTGTGGGGGCCCGTCTCTGGCAGAGCCAGGGCTTGGGAAGTGAAGGGACCAAAGGGCAAAGCCCCTGTGGCCAGGAGGCACTTGGAGCACAGAGGTGCACGTGGCTGCAGCAGAGAAAGCCGCAGAGCCGCACGTGACACTCGGATAGCAGCGTCCCCTGACCTGGAACCTGGAAGGCGGTGGAGGAGGAGGATCAGACTGGGGCTTCAAAATGGCCAGCTGTGGCTGCAGGGCTAGGGGACACCAGGGCCGAACACTGGCCACTGGGGAAAGGCAATATGGAGTGGGGGTGGCCAGAAGTGCACCGAGCAGAGGCGTTACCAGGTGAGCACTGGGGCTGGAGACGGTGCGGGAGAGAGCAGCGTCCAGGAAGCAGAAGAGGGGGGTGGCTGTGGCCACCAGAGCAGCATGGGCTGGAGGTGATGGGCTAGATGGGCTGAGTCTGTTTTCAGAGGTGCTCAAAGTGGAGCAGCCGCAGGAGCTTAGGGGAGTGTAGGGCAGCAAAGAGCCAGGGCTGGACAGCGCAGTCGTGACACGTGCCGGTGAGGCCCTGGCCACGGGGCAGAGGAGCCCGAGTGGGGCCAGCGGGCGGGCCGTGAGCACTGTGGGAAGAAGGGTGTGGCCCACAGCCTCAGACCCCAGTCCACAGCCAGCAATGAGGACTGAGCTGGCCGCAGCTCTCAGACGAGGAGCGGCCCTGCTGAGGCGGCACCCTCACCGCGTGCCTGTGTCCGCAGAGGAACATGAGGCAAGGGGAAGCAACCTTCATCGAGGAGCGCAGGGCACGGGAGAACCGGCTCAACCAGCAGAAGAAGCTCATCGACAAGATCCACACCAAGGAGGCCAGCGAGAGGCTCCGCCGGGTGCGCCCCAGGCCGGCCAGCCGGGACCCTGGGAGGCCCCTCCCGTCCAGCACGTGGCTCACCCTGGCCTCCCCCTTTCTCCATCAGGGCAACAGGGACCTGGACTTTCCCTCCAGTACGATGAGTGTGGACGTCCTGAGGGGTGAGTCTCAGCCCTCTGCCTGTGCCCAGCCTAGGTGCCCAGAGGTTGGCGCTGGCTGGGACACCCTCGTCAGGTCACCATGAGGAGAGCTGTATCCTGTGGCCACCAGGGTGGGGGAGACTGTCCCTCGCTGCCCCGAGGAGACTGAGAACCTGTGTCGTGTTGCTGCAGAGAGGCCTTTTGCAGTCCAGGGCCTGGTCACCCAGTGGCTCCTCAGTGCTGCTGCTGCTGAGAATGCCAAGTCCAGTGCTATGCTGTCCTCGTGCTTTGCACTGGGCTCCCCTGGGTGTCCCTGAGGGGCCTGGCTAAGGAGGGAGGCAGCTGACCCAGGATTCCTAGCTCCTTGGTGGCCTCCTCAATGGCTGTGTGTGCAGAGGTGTCCAATGGTGATCCCCGCACTGACTGCCTCTTCCCCTCCCTTCTGCCTAGGGAGGAGAAAGGAGACCTCTGAGATGGACATCCAATACCAGACCAATGTGACTGCCTTGGTGGAGAGGGTCAAGTCCGCTGTGCAGTGCTCCCACCTCTGGGTGAGGCATGGGCAGAGCGGTGCTGAAGGGGACACAAGAAGCTCAGCCCCCTCCAGTGCACCTGAACAGGCTGATCCCAGGCCTGGGAGGAGCACCAGGACCTGAGAACCCAAATGCTAAAGGCGTAGTGTCTACCTGCAACCCCAGCCGCTGCCCAGCCAGGCAGCCACTGTGGGCAGCTGCCTCCCACCAGCCCTCTTTACTCTACGCTCCCGTCCATGGCCCTGACTGGAACTTGTCCATCCGAGGGCAAGTGACTCAGGTGATGCTTGGTCTCCTTGGCAGCAGATGAGGTTTTTATGCTCTGCCATCATGGTCGTGGGCAATGACACACGTAAGGCATTCCGCCACTATGTGTGCTGGGAACACCTGTGATCCCAGCACTATGGGAGGCTGAGGCAGGAAGATCCCAAGTTTGAGGCAAGCCTGGGCAACTTAGCAAGGCCTTGTGTCAAAATAAAAAATGAAGGACTGGGTATAGCTCAGTGTGAAGGCCCTGAGTTCAATCCCCAGTACTGGAGGGGAAAAAAGGCGCTGTGGTTGGCTCCTCCCAAACTACAGTGCCGGGCAGCAGTCAGCACAACAGCTGAGCCCCTGGCCCTGAACGCCTGCACCGGCCCTGGGCCCTACCACCTTCGGAGCCCATACCTGCTTGTCTCCACCCTGGACTGCCTAGGACATCGCTGGACGCTTCCTGGCCCAGAGGAACACCGAGGACAACCTGGAGCTGCAGACGGAAGACTGTGAGGACCGGCGGGTGCAGCTCGAGGCCCTGATAAAGAAGCTGCAGCTCGAAGAGGCGCTGCTTAAATTCCGCCAGGTGCCCAGCTCCACCGGGTACGTGGTTCCCAGGCTGCCAGCCACCTGGGCACCCATGGCGCATTCTGGGTGCTCACTTCCCTCAGAGGTGTGTGTGTGTAGAGGAGCCAGGGGACCCACCCACCTGCACCTGAGCTGCAGCCCCTGGAGTCAGCACAGCACCCAGCTCAGAGCCCAGCCTGCTTGCCCTCCCTGGGCCTGGGGGCTGAGCCACCTTTGTCCCCGTGTCCCCTCATCCTCTGCAGCTTCAAGTCCGTTGAAGAAAAGATGAACAACATGCTGAAAGAGGAAGAGGCGAGGCTCCAACTGGCCCACAGCAACATGACCAAAAGCCAGCAGCTGCTGCTGATTATCCAGACGGGCATAGACAACCTCTACATCCGGCTTACTGGCATCACCTTGCCTGCCAGCCAGGTACTGACTGAGCCAGGAGGAGCGGGCAGGCACAGATCCCGGGGTTGAACCAGAGGGGAGACCGGACTGTGCCCCCGCCTGCAGAAAGAAGCAGCGCCCTCTGGCACCCTCGATGTGCATGGCAAGCTGGCCTACTGCGAGAGGAAGCTCACACACCTGGCTGACCGTGTGCAGGCGCTGTCCAAGATGGAGGAGGTAGCCTTGGGCTGGGGGGCACCAACACAGCTCAGGTCCCTTCTGAGCTGACGGGGACACGGCCCTGCAGGTCAGCCCCAAGGTGAGAGATGCCCTGGAGTCCTCCATGCTAAAGGAGAGGTACAACACCAGGATCAGCTTTGAGGATCTGGAGGACGACATGATAGGTGAGGCCACCAGCATAGGGAGGGGCACAGGGCCACAGCCAGAACCAGTCACAAGTCTGAGCTGCGGAGGGTGGGGCCAGTGCCCACTCCATCTGACCAGGACATCCCGGAGGGACAGTGAGGGAGACAGCGACCCAGAGAGTTTCGGTCAGGTGACTCAGTGACGACACACAGAGGCTAAACCCACTGAAACCATTTGAGACTTAATTACCCTGGGAGGAGGGGGCACACATGACAGGGGCTGCTGGGAAGGCCAAGCCAGAGCCTTTGGAGGGGCTTCTGCGGCGGAGCAGAGCAGGGCAGCAGAAGAGGACTGGCCAGTGTGGGCGGTTCCGAGTCGACTGGCCCCTGGCCCTGGGGACCTGGAGCAGGGAGTGGTGGCCGGAAGGGCTCCCTGGCCCTCTGCGTGTCTAAGGATGGGCCAGTAGGGATGGGGAGCAGCCTGTCCCCGGCAGCCGGGTACGGGAGCCAGGAGCCCGCCGCGAATCTCCCGCGCTCCGCGCAGAAAGCTTCCAGTTTGCCGACATGGACCACAGCTATATCCCGTCGCGGGCCGAGATCAAGGAGCAGGCCCAGGAGCTGATCGAGGGCAAACTCAAGATATCCAAGAAGAAAAAGAAGTAGCCCCGCCCACCCTGTGTTTCACAAATAAACATTTTTCCGCGACTGCCGGTGCGTGCGCCGGACGAGCTGAGGCAAGGGACCGGGTGTGCGTGGGCTGGACCTGGGCGGGGCAGGGCCGCGGGGCGCACCGCCCACTGCGCATGTGCCGCTCTAACTGTCCCTCGCTGCGCCCCGTAGCCGCGCCGGCGCCAAGATGGCGGCGCTGACGAGTGGCTGGTGGTCGTGCCGGGGGCCGCGGGGGCCGGAGCGGAGCTGTCGCGGCTGAAGTCCCCAGCGCCTTTCGAGGTTCGGCCTGCCGCTACGACCTCAGCCTGTGGCCACACAGGTTCCAGCCTGGGGGCAGTCCGGGCTGCCGGGTCATGCTGCGAGGCGCAGCGCTCCGCCGCCGCCGCCGCCGCTGAGCTCGCGGGCCGCGCCCGGCTCGGACGTGTACCGGGAAGATGTTCTCCGCGCTGAAGAAGCTGGTGGGGTCGGAGCAGGCCCCGGGCCGGGACAAGAACATCCCCGCTGGGCTGCAGTCCATGAACCAGGCGCTGCAGAGGCGCTTTGCCAAGGGGGTGCAGTACAACAGTGAGTGCAGCCCCGCCGTCGGCGGCTCGGAAGCCAGGCGGGAGCAGTGGGCCGGGGCGAGGGGCCGGGGCGGGTGGCGTGCCCAGGGCAGACCCCACGCGGGAAGCGCCCTGGAGCAACGCAGGGCTGAGGCGGGCGTCCCAACAGTGGGTCGCTCCTAGGAGATGTCGCCTGAGAAGTGCTGTGCGGTGGCGCTGCCCCGCAGCGAGCGGGGCCCTGATTGGCGCAAGTGGCCTCACTGTGGAGGGACCGTTACATAACGGGAGGGAGGGAGGGAGGCGCGCGTGGGGCGCCAGGGTCTGGCACTGCCTCCAGAGTAGCTGTTTAGACCTCCACCCGCGAGCTGGGCGCTCATCCCCGGAGGCGCGTGAAGCCCGCGCGCTCTGGTGATTGAGGGGGGGTGGTGCGGGGGTGTTTTCGTTACGTTCCTACCCAGCTTGAAGACGCAACGCCTTTCGTTCCCAAAGAAACCTTTGTAATTGATATATTTAGAAAAGTTCTCAGAGGCACAGACTCTTCCTGTGATCGCAGGAGACGCCCCCTATCCTTGCGGGGTGGAGGGGCTGTGTACAGACGCCCACGCAGCTCCATTCTCCGTTATAAATTATGTACCTTGTGCAGCTCCGGGTTGCAGGCTGTCCTCTTGACCTCTTTTGACTTTTTCCATTTGCAGGGTTTTTTCTAGCAAAACCTAAAGGCTTTCATGTTACCCTTTGCTGTGACTTTGTTACCCTCTCAAATGTTTTCCTGTATTGCTAGGGTATTGTGCACATACACACCCACCGATACACACGCTTTTCTCATGCAGAAACTTGCAGCAGCCATGGTATTTCCATTATAACGTAGTGTTTTATGAAACTGTTTAGAAAGCCAAGTGTGGTGGCACACACCTGTAATCCCAGCACTCAGGAGGCTGAGGCAGGAGGATCACCACGAGTTGAAGGCCAGCCTGAACTACATAGCAAGACCTTGTCTCCAAAAAAAAAACTGATTCGAAAGACTTGTTCAGGTTTAAAAACAGACTCATTTTAGAGGTGTTAACTTGAAATTTTGTTTGTATTTCTCTCAGTTCTGTGAAGAGAATATTAGGGCAAACCATTTATGCAAATCTTTGGAATGAGCAATTGGATCCTTTAATTTTATTATGAATAGGGAATCCTAATCTCAGGCCCTTAGAAATTAGATCTGAAACAGAAATTGCTCACTTTCTGACAGGGCTCCCTGACGGGCCCACCCCTAGTGCTTCTGGGCAGGAGGGGCTGAAAAGGAGTTGCTCCTGAGTAGAAAATCCAGCGTCCATTATTTGGAGACTTGTTGTGATCTCCTTGTTGAGAGTCCAGAGGAATTTCAGTACATATCTGAGTTAGATTTTAGAGGGGTATTAAATATCTCTAGTTGAATATATATACGTATATATATATATGTATGTATATATATAAAACTTTTTCATTTCCTGTATTAGTAGGATAAGAAGTTTTTAGTACTTGTTTTGCAAAATGTCTCACTTAAGAAACTAGTGATATAAAAACTGTAGACCCAGGATTCTTACAGGTAAGAGTTGCAATTAACTGTTGATGATATGAATTATCTCTTGCGGCATGTTATCCTTCTGGGGCACGTAGTCGTTTTCAGTTTGTTAGGATAATGAGAAATATCCTATGGGCACGCATGCACAGCCTTCAAATTAGAATCAGAATGAAAGAGACATTGGATCATAGTTCCATTTTGGAACCCAAATTTGCATATAAACTAGAAGGAAAAACTGCACCTGAATTAGTCATCCCCTTCCACTGCAGCTGGACAGTTGATCAGCTTTGCATGTGGGGAATGTTGCTGTGGGGCAGTCTCCTAAAGGAGAAAGCCCTTACTTTGGATCTCTGTAGTGGTCTTGCTAAGGACACTGGGACAGAGACCTGGGGAAAGGAAACCCTGAAATGTAAATAGTCTACACTGTAGTGGCACATGATTACCCAAGTGCTGAGAGAAGTGGGGCAGAGTGATTAAGCAGATTCCAGCACATGACTCAACAAGATTCACAAAGAAAGCACAACCAGAATAGAGATGAAGCAGTATTTGAACAAAACAGGATTATCCAGAATTGAGATACATGAAACTTCACAGTGTCCAAGGCCAGAATTTGTAAAATATCCACAGCTAGGCACATCACTGAAAGTTTTCAGAGCTTCAAAGTGAAAAAGAAATAATCTTTGATGCAATCATAGCAAAAGGAACCAGCCCTGAACTCATGACAACTTCTGGCAGCTCAGAGAAACCACAGCAATGCTGGCATCTGTTGTGGAATGCAGCAGTGGCACCAGAGCAAGTACGGCTAAGCTTGCTTCCCGTGTCCGGGTGACAGTTTACGGTGTGGATTCTTACAGACATAAATACAGAAGGAGCCAAACGTGGTGGCGCACGCCTATAGTCTCAGTACTCAGGAGGCTGAAGCAGGAGCATCACCCCAAGTTTGAGGCCAGCCTGGGCTACATAGTGACACCCTGTCTCAAAAAACCTAAATACATGTATACATATGTACATACAGAGGGTCTTCTTTAGACGGATGGAAGTTGAGCTCAAAAGACAGGCTTCGCAAACAGCCAAGGTGACCAAAGGAATTAGGAAATAAGTAGTAAAATCTAAATGATACCACCGAGCACTGGTGCTGTCAGTTGGTGAAGGTGGTTTACGTAGGGAAGACACGTGAGGACAGCACTAATTTCTGTAATGGAAATCAGCACATAGCCCAGGATCAGAGTGAAGGTATTCAGAATTCCTTACGTTATGTAAGAGAAAGATAGAGAAACTTAGTAACTTTAGACTATATTACAGTGACTGAATGTTAAAAATTCAGGAGTTACTGAGAATAGAAATAGATGGCAACTCTTCCAAATAGACATCAGTTGAAAAGAAGGGGGGAACGCCGGGCATGGTGGCACACGCCTGTAATCCCGGCACCCAGGAGGCTGAGACAGGAGGATCATTTTGAGTTCGAGACCAGCCTGGGCTACAAAGTGAACTCAAGGCCAGCCTGAACTGCATAGTGAGACCCTGTCTCAAAAAAAAAAAAAAAAAAAGCAAAAAAAAAAAAGAAGGTGGAAAAAGCTTTCCCAACTTAATAAAAGTCACTAAAGGCTGGGCTGAAACCAGGGTGATAAATAAAAGTGATAAAATGAAGTGGTAGAAATAATTCCGTATCTCTTGACAGACACAGTGATGTAAGCAGGTAAAATCATCCCCTCCAAGTTGTGAGAAAGTAAGATTGGGATTTTTTTTTCTTACTTTGGCCGTATGGCTCATAAGAGACACATCCAGATCATATTGGCAGAGTGGCAGTAAGGAGTCGAGTGAATCCAAGCCTGCTTGCAGCAGAATCTGGGAACTGGCGTGTTAGGTTGGTCTTCCACAGGCCTGATTGGTAACCTGTTGGGGACAAGGAGAGCCTCCTGTCTGGGCAATGGGCTGCAGGTGGCCCCTGGAAGGCAGGGCACAGACAAGGGGGCCTTGCATCGCTGTAAACCTGCAGGAGTTCCCAGCAGCCACACACTTCCTTCCAGGGCTGGTGGGCCTGGGATGCTCCCCAGAGCATGTCAGAATCAGGGTGGCCTGCCACAGCCTTGGAAGTGAGGATGGAGGAGGCAAGTCCCTGAGATCTGAGAACAGCTGACACTTCCACGTGGCTAAATGCGGGACTGGGGTGTGGGGAGGCGATAGAGAAGGCATACAGCCCAGGCCGAGCCCTGCTGAGCAGTTAGGCCAGCTGGCCACACTGGCTGTTGGTGCCCAGGGTCCTGGGTCCCCAGGAGGACGTGAGAGGGGAGGGTCCAGCAATAGCAGTCAGCAGAGGTGGTCTGGGAAAAGAGAGGAGGGATGAGCCCTGGGAGTGCCTCAGCCCATCCCAACCCCTGCTAGAAGTCCTGCGGCCACTGTGCCCCTGCTGTGTGAGGCACCGGCCTCGCTCTCCTGGGCCTGGGGCTGTCAGGTTTGCCTGGGCCTGAGCACCCCAGCCCTCCAGCAGGGGTGCCCAGCCCAGAACAGGGCCTAGGTAAGACTCAGAGTCCTTCCTGACCTGGCCTCCCCTCCTGCCACACCTCCCACCTCTGCTGACCCTGCCCCTCACCTCCACGCTGCCATCCTGGGTCACCCTGCCCTGATCACTGGGGCCTGTGCCTGCCCCTGCCTGGGAGCCAGCGGGACTTTAGGCGCAGCCTGGCACACACAGCAGTGTGGAGTAGGGTGAGCCCTCTGCACAGCTGGGCACCACACATGCCAGGTTGCAGGGAAGGTAGGTTCAGGAAAACCCATGCCGGCTCGGGGTACCACCCTGAGCACATCCCTCCTGGCCCAAGGGTCCTTGGTCACCCCTCAGGCATCAGGCTACCCGGTAGATCCTGGTCCCCCGGGAGCTAGCTCCTGTGCTGGACCCCTGCCTGCCCCTCCAGACCCTGCTCCTCCTTTGGCACAGGTACCCCACTGCCGTGGCCAGTGCTACCAGCACCCCTTGTCCAGTCCTTCCCCTGCCCACCAGCCACCCAGGGTTTGACTGCTACAAAAACCACAAGCCTGTCGCAGTGGAGCTGCCATGACCTTTGAGGTTAAATGGTGACTCTGACTTTGGTTTGTCTTCTGTGTTCCTCTTCACCCTCAGTGAAGATAGTGATCCGGGGAGACAGGAACACAGGCAAGACCGCACTGTGGCACCGGCTGCAGGGCAAGAAGTTCGTGGAGGAGTACATCCCCACACAGGAGATCCAGGTCACCAGCATCCACTGGAGCTACAAGAGTGAGTGTCCCCACCGCCACCCCTCTGCCCACGGCCCAGCCTCCCGCAGGAACCCCGACAGGAATGTGGGGATCATCATGAATCACCTCATCTGGGATTTGGAGCTATGAACCTCCTCTCGTGTCAGGGCCTAGGGCTGGGGCAGCTGTGTAGCTCAGGTGAGCTAGAAAGCAGACATCTCCAGAGATTAAATCTCTACTTCATATTCCAGGCACGAGCACTCACCCTGCAGGCTGGGACATTGCTGGTGGCTTGGGAAAGGGGCAGACAGTGACGCTGGGGCTGGCCCTCATCCCCTCTGAACCCCAGGGTCCTACTATGTACTAATCTGAGGTTTTTCTCTTGTTTCAGCCACGGATGACGTAGTGAAAGTTGAAGTCTGGGATGTGGTCGATAAAGGTGAGGTGCCTCTGCCATGCTGCAGCTGTTCTCTCTTCTTATACCGGTTGCCTTGGTCTCAGCTACTCTCTCTGGCCCTGTGTCCTACAGAGGACCTGCTCTGCTCTTGCCCGTGTCCATCTGTGCAAGGCTTAGGTTTGTTGCTGTGTGCATTGTGGTCAGGGTCTGGTTAGCTTCCACTGCATCCAGTGAGCAGGACGGGTGTGTGGCGTGAACCTGATGACTGTACACCTTCTGTTGCTTGAGCATCTCTCTAGCCCTGAATGGCTGGCCTCCAGCAGGGCAGGTGTGCAGCAGCCTCTGGCCACCTGGGCCATTTGAGGATTCCCTTATGTCCACCAGGTAGGCGTACCTGTCGCAGCACCCTGAGGGCATGGAGGGGCCTGGCCATAGAGCTCATAGGGACACCCGCTTCTCCTGGTGGACAGCTGATGCCTGGTGGCACACGGGAAGCTGGTTTATGCTAGTGTGTACGTCCTTGTGGCTCCGATCTGGCCCAAGTTTACTTGATGCCTGTTGACCCCAGCCCTGGTTAGTCAGAGGGAAAGTTACACTCAGTGCAGCACCACAGTAGGAAGGTTTCACCTACAGATCTTGGGGAGAGGCAGGCGGACTGTGAGTTGAGAGGGCTGCTCTCCACCCTTGGGTCATAGGAGGCAGGAACAAAGAGCCAGAGAGAGGGCCCAGTCCATGGGCCAACATCTTTGTTAGGTCCAAAGCATTATCTAGGTAGGTTTCCCGCACAGTTTTAGAGGTTTCTTTTTTTGTTTTGTTTTGTTTTGTTTTTCTTCCGGTACCAGGAATCGAACTCACGACCTTGCGCTTGCGAGGCAGGCACTTTGCCGCTGAGCTAAATCCCTAGCCCCTCCCGCACAGTTTTAGTTTGTTTAGGAGGAAGGCTCCGGTGCTGCAGGTGGAGCTGTGTCTCAGAGGTGATGGGGGCACATGTGTAGCAGGAGGGGCCTCAGGCTATGTTGGCCATCTTCAGGCCGGGGTGGCCGGGACAGAGCTGGATACTGCTGGGGGCTGGGCCAGCTCTGGTCTGAGAAAGCTCTAGTCTAACCTGTGTTCAGGATGGGTGCTGAAGCCACATAAATGACAAGAATTTCCTGCATCACCCCAGAGTCAGGGCCTGTACCCCCAGCTCAAGGGACCTAACCCCCTCTTTCTGGTGAGCCTCAGGCCCACCTAACCCTATGGCATATCCCCACGACAGCAGATGATCTCATCCTGTCCTGACAAGCTGGGTCACAAGCCCCTCTGTGATCTCAGGGTGAGGGCCGTGTGTGTGCATGCGAGGCTCTGAGCAAGTGGTGGCCTCATGCTGGTTCCAGAGCCAACAGGCCCAGAGCGCTCACCTGCTTGGCCTCCCCATTCATCGTTGGCCCGGCAGAGCTGAGGTTCTGGTGCAGGGTGTAAGTGTGCCTCTCCCAGCTGTGCTCCAATGTGCTGCTCAGAGAGGTGGCCGGGGGTGTAGCCTGTGTGGCCTGTGCTGCCTCCAGCCTTGCTCTCCACACCCTCCCTGCACAGAGGACGCTGTCACACTCCTGTCACATCTCCATTGAGGCCTTGTCACTGTCCCTGCTGAGGGTACAAGTTGCAACTGCCATGGCCTCTGGCTGACTCAGGCCGGGCTGCCCTCTGGACGCCTGGGCCCTGCACTGGTCACTTCAGGGAGAGGCACTTGGTTTCCTGCAGAGGGCCTGCAGCACTGGAACAGTGGTGACCTGAGCCCTTGCCTGCTCCAGGGACCACGTGCAGGCCCTCCTGGCAGGATTTCCTGTTCTAGGGTGTTAAAACTGGGTGCCCTGGGACGAAGTATTGTGGTTTCAGTCTCCAGGTGGGGACCCCTGCCCAGGAGCCCTGGGCATGATCTTCCTCTCACTGCACTAGGCCTGAGCACTGTGCCAGTCTGGCTGGGAAGTTCTCCAGCAATGCCCCTGTGCCTCATCCCCACCTGCTGGCATCTACCTCGGGAGCCTCCCTCAGCCAGCACCAGCAAGGAAAGGTCCCCGCCGGGCCAGTGCCGGCGCCCTCACAGCCTGGTGCTGCCTGTTTGTTGTTTGATGGGAAGAAGGGCAGCTTGGTCCCTGGCCCAGGGGACAAGGTCTGAGGACTGAGAGCAGAGGGCCTCCAAGGGGAGAGAGCCAGCGAGTGAGTCGGGCTGGGCACACCCGAGCTGTGCGCTGGAGGCTGAGGCAGAGGACGAGGGTACTTGCTGAGCATCTCCTGGAGCGGGGTGACTGGGAGCAGCCTCATTAGTTCTGACTTCCTCTGAACCCCAGGCTCCTGTCCTGCTGCTTGAGGTGGATGGGAGCAGGCGGCCAGCCAGGCAGACTCCTCCTGAGTGCGGCTGAGAGGAGGGGCTCATGCCCAGGCTGGTCGGAGCATAGCCAGAAATTCAGAATCAAACGGGGATGAGGTGCAGGCTGGTATTTTAAGTAAATGAACCCTATTTGTTTCTAACAGCAAGCTGCACTCCCCGTCCAGTGGGGCATTCTAGACATGGAAGGAGATGTGGCCATGGTGTCCACCTCGGTTACACGCAGTCCTGCGTCCCCAAGGGCAGGACTTGTGGTTGTTGCCCTGATCAAGCCTTAGTGACCTTGAGGGTCATCGAAACACAGCTGGGCAGGACTAGGCCATGACATCGCCCTCCTTCTTACAGCTGGGCTACAGCTGGGCTACGGCTAGGTCAACCGCTGTGCCCTCTAGCCTCCCTCTTCAGTGGTCCATGCTTGTGTGTGAAGTCTCAGAGTGTCCGCAGCCCCAGCAGGAGTGCCAGCTCTGGTCTCTACCACCTCGCAGTGTTGCCCCTTCTGCCCTGGACATGGCTGTGGGGGACATGGGGGCCATGAGGGCCCTGCCTTCTTGAGCGACTGCTTCCCTCGCAGCAGACCTGACCTGGCCAGTGCCCATTGAGCCCTGCCGGCCTCACCCTGCACTTCCTGTCCAGCCGTCAGGGCCCATTCCCCTTTCTCCTGAGGCTGAGTGAGGCGTAGTCCATCAGGGCATGCCAAGGGGCAGGGAGGTGCCTTCAGCAGTCCTGGGCCTAGAACTCACACACCGTAATTGTTGTTTGTCATTTAATAAGGAAAATGCAAAAAGCGGAGTGACGGCTTGAAGACAGAGAATGACCCCCAGGAGGTGAGCCATTCGTCCTCGCTGCTCATGGCTATTCACAACTCAGCGGCACCAGCCCTTCAGACCCCACTGCTTGCTCCTCTGTCCCTGTTCTGCCATGGTGCAGTGGCCACTGCCTGCTCGCAGGACCCCATGCCAAGGTTGAGTTTTAGGGTGGCTGCCTCCTGGTGGGCTCCCCCATGTGAGTGATGCCTGCCTTTGCCGCACTGGGCAGATGTCACAGTGGACTGACCCCCAGTATGGGTCGGAATGGCCTGGGCAGCATGTAGCCGCCGTGTTGCTGCACAGAGTCCTCCCTTGTCCACAGAGCCTCTCTGCTGTTCTCTGGCCCCAGGAGGGGAAGCGCTGCTCACACCTGTGGCCCTGTGTGTGCGCTGGAAGGTTCTAGAGGCCTGTCTTAGAGTCACTCCCCCATCTCTGGGTGGTGGCTGGAGCCCTTTCTGCTTACAGCTGGGACTCCGCCAAGCCTCACACCCACCGCTGCTCCTGTGTCCCCCAGCAGTGTTCTCTTCCCATTTCCTTCCAAGGAAATGCCTCTCAGCTTTCAGGTCGGGACAGTCTTATTCAACCTCTGCCAGGCCACTGAAGGCCCACAAGGATGGAGCCCGGTCTTACACCTGCTTCTTCCTGTCCTAGGCGGAGTCCGAAATGGCCCTGGATGCTGAGTTCCTGGACGTGTACAAGAACTGTAACGGGGTGGTCATGATGTTTGACATCACCAAGCAGTGGTAAGAGGGTGCAGCTGGCCGGTAGTGACCTTGTAGGCGGAGGACAGCAAGCAGAGTGGGAGTGGGCAGAGGCTCTGCCCAGGGGGGGCTGCAGATGCCCCCAGGAGCCTTGGGGGACCACCTCACTCCTCCACCCTCGAGGTTAAGGCTCACGAGCTCTCTTCTGGGAACCAACAGCGCCCCCCAGCCTGAGACCAGGACCCTCCTGTCACCAGCAGCAAGTACTGAGAGTGAATTCTAGACACCAGCTGAGGGCCACACTGCCTGAAGACGGGGCTGACAGCAGCCGGTTTATAAGTGGCCTGTGTGCTCCTGCCCTTTACTCTGTGTGTACAGCCCTGTGGCTGTTACGGCACACACGGCCTGTGTCCATTGTCAGAAACTGGAAAGGCAAAGGAAGCCGTCTGCCTCACTGGCAGTGATGTCACTGCTTGTAGCCGATGGGTCCAGCCAGGCTTCCTTTCCAGGGCTGCATGGCAGCCAGATGTACCATGCCCACCTGTGTGAGGACACAGGCACATGCCACAGAGCACCAGCCTCCCACAGGTGCCTATGCCAAGCTGGGGTGAGAGCTCGCACCATGCGCCTCCCGACGGCTGGCGCCCACACGTGCAGTGCGCAGCCACCCTCCTGCTGCATGGGCACTGCCAGCCATCACCTGCCCAAAGCGGTGGCTTCGCCACGTGGAATGGAGGGTGGTGGTTAGGAGCCACCTCCACTTCACAGCAGTGTCCTGCAGCCTCTGCAGGGGAGCTTCTGAGGCGGCGGCCAGAGGAACAGGCCGTGTCCTAAAGGCCTCAAGGACCAGACACCTGGGGCAAACATGGCCACAGGGGTGCCTGGACCACAGCAGGAAGACGCGCAGGATTGAGGTCAGCCCAGGAAGAGGTGGTGTGGATGCTGTGTGGGCCATGGGGCCCCGACCCAGGTGCTTAGGCAACACTAGGGGTGGCCAGACCACAGGGCCACAGCCACTCCTCAGGGCCTGAGGCCCTGACACTGGTGTGTGAGGTGGTGCCCAGGTGGCAACACTTTGTCTAGAGCAGCTGCTTCTGAGTGCAAAGAAAGGAACACGTCATGGTTTCAAACACCACATGTCCACCAGCAACATCACACCACACAGGAGCACTCTGGAGGCTGAGGCAGGAAGCTTACTTCAAGCTCAAACCAACCTGAACTACCCAGTAAGACCCTGTGTCAGACAACAGCAAAATGATGCAGAGGACACTCCAAAGAGGACAAGCCAGGTGCAGAGGTCACTGCAGCTGTGGATGTGCATCTTTACTGCTTCCTCTCAGTGGAGGGAGCTTAGCCACACTCATGACTGGTTACTCCTTCACAAGCCACCTGGGAAACACTGAGTGACCATGAAGCAGACCCAGGGCCAGGCCGCACCCTGAGAGATCTGCCCGTCACCCTGCAAACTGTCTTGGGCAGCTTCTGTGCTGAGGAGCGAGGCCCTGAAGACCCTTCATCCACCTGTAGCAGGGCTGCCTTGGCAATGGGGATGGCTTCTGCAAGCCGAGAGCGTGGTGCAGGGAAGGGCTGAGGAGCTGTGGCACTGGCCTTGGTGCACAGCGGGAGCCAGGGACGGGGCACCCGAGGTGCTGGCCTTGGTGCACAAGCCAAGGGGTAGGTCAGCCCAGGATGCAGTTGGTAGAGGGTGATGCTGGAAGCAGGTGAAGATGGCTGTGACTCTGTAAGAGTGCGGACGTGTGGTACCCAGGGAAAGGCGGGGGAAGGGGTACCCCGGGGCCTGGGCTGCGTGGAGGTGTGTCCTCCAGGAGAAGAAGGCAGGGCTGCAGGTGCGCGCTTAGCTCTGCGTGGCTGAGACTTGTTCCCTCCCCCAGGACCTTCAATTACATCCTCCGAGAGCTTCCCAAAGTGCCCACCCATGTGCCGGTGTGTGTGCTGGGCAACTACCGTGACATGGGCGAGCACCGCGTCATCCTGCCCGACGACGTGCGTGACTTCATCGACCACCTGGACAGGTGGGTGCCACTGGCCTGTACCTGGCCATGCTTGGTGGTGCTGCAGAGGTACACTGAGGCAGCCTTGCTGGAGATGCAGACCTGGCTGGGCCCAAGGGAGGGCATCAGGTGTAAGCCAGGTGAGCACCAGACCATAGGGCTACCTGGCTACTGTCTGGTTCCTCAGGCCATCAGGAGGGGCCAACTGCAGAAGCAGCTTGGAGCTTAGCAGGGAGGAGCAGGGGGGCAGGCAGCACCAGGCCAGGCTGTGGTCCTGGCCTGGCCCCCTGAGGGCCTTTCTCACACCATTCTCCTTCTGAAAACAGACCCCCAGGCTCCTCCTATTTCCGATACGCAGAATCTTCCATGAAGAACAGCTTTGGCCTGAAGTACCTGCATAAGTTCTTCAACATCCCGTTCCTGCAGCTGCAGGTGGGTCCTCAGCTGGTGGGCAAGGCCCCCAGGCAGTGGGCAACTGAGCTCTGAGTGCACCCGCCACCCGCTGGGCCCAAGAGCTGGTGCTGGCATAGGGAAATTGGTGAGGTGTCCTGAGGGATCACCAGGCCTCACCCCACATGTGGAGCCCCCGTCACCAAGGGACAGGTCCGGGGGACTCCTGCCAGGGCCCCCCCTCCCATCTGCTGTGCCACATCCCATTTCCGCTGTGCTTTCGCCAGAACCCAGGACCCCGCTCAGTCTCGGAACTAACACGAGGCTTCCCCCAGACAGGCCTCTCTCGGACCCCTCCAACACAAGCGTGTCCCTGTTGCTCTGGGGTTGTGTGGTGAAGTAGGTGCCAGACCCTGAGAGCTTCTGGCTTCCCCTGTGGGGTCAGCAGGGGCTGCCTGCCGGAAGCTGCAGTGCTCGCCCCTTCCTTCGCAGGACACCAGCTGCTGTAGTGTGTGGTCCCTGCCCTTGTCCTCTGTCCCAAGCTGTGCTGTGGGTCCTGGCACTGGGCAGGACATGGGCAGGTCTCACCTGAGGCTGGAAGGCCTGCCAGACATCTCCATGATGGGACTGGGGCTGAGCAGACCTGGGCTCCCGCCTCGCCTGCCCAGCCGTGTGGCTTGTGTCTCCAGAAGGGCCTTGTGCTTGCTCAGGAAAACAAGGCCTGACTTTTCCTCGTGCCTCTCTCCTTTCTGTCATGTCCTCTCTGGAAGATGGAACCCAGACCCTGGTATATGCTGGGCAAGCACTGTACCCCCGAGCTACATCTCCAGCCTTTCTGTGTTTATTTTTTAAGACAGGGTCTCACTAAGTTGCCCAGGCTGCACTTGAATTTGCCATCCTCCCAAGTAGCTTGATTACAGTTTGTGCTACCACACCCAGCTCCTCTACTCCTCCCCCTCCTTTTTTTTTTTTGTACCCCTTCTGAAACAGAGTCTCACTTGGTAGTCAGGCTGATCCCCTGCCTCAGCTTCCTGAGTGCTAAGACAGGTGTATGCCACTACACCCAGCTCTTTTCTCTGTATTTCTTTTGTTTGTTTTTGTTTTGTTTGTTTAGACAAGGCCTCAATGTGTATTTGAGGCTGGCCTTGAATTTACTCTGTAGCCTATGCAGGCCTCCAACTCTCAGTCCTCCAGCTTCAGCGTCTGGAGTGCTGACCTGACAGGTGTGCACCACCACACTGGCTCCCGGCTCTTTTTTTTTTTTTTTTTTTTTTTGGCGCAAGGTCTCACTGTACAGCTCAGGCTGGCCTTGAACTCAGTGATTTTCCTGCCTCAGCCTCCCAGGTGCTGGGATTAAAGGTGTGCACCACCACACCGGCTCCTTTTTCTTGACTGGGAGACAAGGCTTCTGCAGGGGTGCTATGCGGAGGAGCCCTCAGTGCCTCAGTGAGGAGGGCCTGGCTATGCAGGTAACCTTTCCTCTGCAGACTCCTGTTGCCATAGAGAAATGGAGCTTGTGGCCACGTGGCTACTCTGGTCCCTGAAGTTTTTGTCCCTGGCTTCCAGAACCACAAGGAAGAGGACAGGGGGCCTGTGCCTGCTGTCCTTGTCAGCAGGCCTCTCGCCTGCCCTGGACATCCTAAAATTCGTCCGAAAATGCACACTGCCGAGGGCTGGGAGTTTTCCACAGCCCCATGCCCAGAGCTCAGAGCCATATATTGGTGTGGCTCCCTAGAAATGAGTCTGCTTTGGAGCCAGACCACGTGTGTATACTGGGCACACTTAGCTGTCTCTAGGGCAGGGGCTGCTCCGCTTTCTCTGTGCTCTCTCGTGGCCTGAGTGCCATGTACACAGTCCAGTCTCTTCCGGTCCACAGCTCCTCCCACTCATGTAGTTCTTGCCATGTCCCGCAGCTGAAGGGGGCCTGGGTCCGTCTGGTGGCCCGTGTTGGCCACTGTGTGGCGTGTTCAACCTCTCCCCATGCCGCGGGCTGCTTGGTGTGTCTGCTGAGGGTGTGACGTATTCTAAGTGTCACAGGCCACGTGGACGAGCACCCACGGGGGCAGTGCCACCCAGAGGCGTGGCCAGCTCATCCCGGGCTATGACTGCTGCAGCCCTTCTCCCCCAAGCTGTTCCTGCCCTCCGGAAATGTGCATGTGTGAGGACACAGTGTGCTTGTCCGAGGGGCTGTTGGGGGGGATGGTCAGCCCTGCCCAGGAGGAGGCTGTACCCACACCAGGAGGCAGGAGGTGCTGCTCTTGAGCTGTGTGCGGTATCAGCCCATTCTGGGGCTGAAGAAGCCCCTGCAGCACACGGGAAGACCAAGGGGCGCTCCCTGGGTGCAGTGGCCTGACTGGCCCTGGCCTCATGCCACACAGGCTGGCCGCAGGCAGCCAGGCCCCACATGTCAGCTTCTGGGAGGGGGACACTGCCGACGAGAGGGGGATGCTGCTGAGTGATGGCCACTTCCTCTAGCGGGAGACACTGCTGCGCCAGCTCGAGACCAACCAGCTGGACATTGACGCCACACTGGAGGAGCTGTCAGTGCAGCAGGAGACCGAGGACCAGAACTACGGCATGTGCGTGAGCTTATGGAGGGGGAGCGGCTGCTGTCTGCCCCCCTCCAGCCCCTGGCTGGTGTGCAGCAGTGAGCCAGGCAAGGGGCTTGCACTCATCACCCGCCAGGTCCCTAGGCCCACCCCAGCTCTCTAACAGGCGCCCCCTGCTGGCACTTGTAGACCTTCACATTCCCCTAGTGAGGTTTTTCATTAACACACAATGGTAAGATGCTTAGAGTAGAGAAGGGGTGTAGGACAAGTGGGTTAACCTCGTTAAGTAGAGCTCCTCTTACCTGGGGTGACCCAGCATCCAGGATGGTCCGATCTGGACACCTCAGGGCCCGGGGGTCCTCACTTTGCCTTTCTTTCCACCCTCCCCAGCTTCCTGGAGATGATGGAGGCCCGGAGCCGTGGCCACACGTCCCCACTGGCTGCCAATGGGCAGAGCCCATCCTCAGGCTCCCAGTCCCCAATTGTGCCTCCAAGCACCATCTCCACAGGGAGCTCCAGCCCCAGCACACCCCAGCCCGCCCCCCCACTGCCCCTCAGTGCCCCCGCAGCCTGCCCCCCTGCAGCATCCACCTGCCCCGTGCCCCCTGTGGAGGCCCCACCACCCCTTGTACACCCCCCAGCCCCCGTCCCGCCCCCACCACAACGGCGTAGCATCATTTCCCGGCTATTTGGGACCTCCCCAGCGGTGGACGCTGCCCCCCCACCTCCAGGTAGGCCCAGAGCAGCCCTTGAGCAGGCAGGTGCAGGGCATCCTGCACCTTGCAGAGCCGTGGGCTCCATGTCCCCAGCACGGTCCCCTTGGGGCAGAGCACGGGGCACACAGTGGTCCAGTACCACATGACAGGCACCTGCTGTCCACAGAGCCAGCCCCAGCAGCAGAGGTACCAGCAAGGGTCCAGAATGTGGAGGACTTTGTTCCTGAAGATGGCCTTGACCGCAGCTTCCTGGAGGACGCTGCTCAGCCTAAGAACGAGAAGAAGGTTGGAGCCAGGAACCCACAGCAGGACAGCGACAGGTGAGGGCCTGCTGGTGGCCCTGTGCTGGAGGATAGCAGCCTCGTCCCCCACGATGCCCCTAGGACAGAGGACTGACCAGGGGTGACCGTGGGTCCTGAGCAGAGAGCTCGGGCCAGCTCACAGGCCGCTCAGGCCCAGGCCCACCAGCTGCACCACGTCACCCCAGGGATCTGAGGCACTCAGCCTAGCCAGTTAACAAAGGGTGTCGAGGCTGGCGTCCTCCCAGGACAGCGGGCACTCAGTAGTTGTCCCGTTGGGGGCAGGGACGCCTCAGGTTCGTCCTGGACCTGGCCACACGGACCTCACAAAGAGGCCACCTGGGCTGGGCAGGCACTGCAGAGCTGGGCCCTTGCCCGGGTGCTCCTCCAGCTTGGAATCCCATTTCCAGTGGCTGTTGGCACCTCTGTGGCACAGAATGTCAGTGACTGATGCCCAGGAGCCCCTAAGCAGGGTCCTCTCCATCTGACCACCACCCTCAGCATCAGAGGGCACCGCATCTATGCCACTTCATGCCCCACACCGCTCTGGCCCAGCAGGAGGTCTCTGCCAGGTGGGCACTGAGGGGAACGATGGTGCCCAGCCCTCCTGCCCAACCCCTTGCCCTTCTCTACAGCGACGGTGAGGCCTTGGGTGGGAACCCAATGGTGGCAGGTTTCCAGGACGACGTGGACCCTGAGGATCAGCCTTCCAGCAGGCCCTCGCTGCCCTCAGGCCCCGTTCCCAGCAAAGATGTCAGCCTCTCAAGTGAGGAGGAGGTGGCTAGTCACCCCAGCACCCCCAGCACAGCTGCCCTGGCTCCCCAGCAGTGCTTGGAGCCAGAGACAAAACGGTACGGGAGGGGCCCCCAGGCACATCAGGGAAGGGCAGCCTGGACAGCCCGGGAGCCAGTCTGTCCTTGTCACCAAGGTCTTCCACCAAGGCTGTGCAGCCACAGAGAAAGGCAGCGCCCACGCGAGCCCTGGCGCCCCCCCAGCCGAGCTCGGGGTCCGAGCAGCCTGGCAGTACCCCACGCCCTATGGAGGGCACCTCAAGAAGGCCTGCCGAGGGGAAGGAGACACCGGCCTCATCATCGGAGAGTGACCCCGAGGGGCCCATTGCCGCGCAGATGCTGTCCTTCGTCATGGATGACCCAGACTTTGAAAGTGAGGAGTCAGATGCGCAGCGCAGAGTGGTGAGGACAGGCTCCCGCTGTGGGCCCCACCAGGGCTTCCACCCATCCTGCCCCCAGATGCAGGGCCTTGGTGGGCCTGAGGAGAGGCCCACTGTTCACACAGGGCTTGCTGGCTGGCTTGGGGTCCCCTAAGAGGACTCACCACCTTGTTTCGGGGGCCCACGGGCTGGGAAGGGACTGTGGCCCTACTAGCTGCTCCTGCTCTAGAACGAATTTCCCACAAGAGAGGACCCCTCTGACATGAGTGACGAGGACACCAGGTCCGCCCAGCCACCTGTGCCCCCGGCAACGCGGCCCCCTGTCGCCTCCTTCAGACCAAAGAACGACGTTGATCTCTTCGGGCTGGGGCTGGAAGAGCCAGGCCCCAAGGACAGCAGTGATGAAGGTGGGCTGTCCCCTTGGGCTGGCTGCTGGTCATGGGGTCTTCATAGTGGAGCACTGCTGCTGTGTCCCAAGCCTGGCATCTGCAGCATGGCCACACAGCTGGCCAGGGCCAGCAGGCCTGGTAGCCTCTAGAGAAGTCTTGCTACCCAGCCTGGGGTCCCTGTGGCCCCAAGAATTTGGGCTGCTGATCTCCAGCACCCCATGCCAGCTGCCTTGCCAACACATAGGCCTTCAGGTGCCACAGGGCTTTGGGCGGGAGCAGGGGCAGCTGTCAGGGCTCCTAGAGGAGTTGGTGGCTGGTTTCCAGGGTTCTCGTGGGAGTCCACTCACCTGCAGATAAAGCTGGCTCCAGCTGCAGCTGGGAGCTGGTGGTTCCCCCGGGGCTCACATGCTGGCCCTGCCGTCCCATTGCCCACACTCAGTCCCTCGCTGCGGCCCAGAAGGCAGACTTGTGCCCACTGTGCCCTGGCCAGCAGGCCCTCAGCCCCACATGGAAAGGAAGGAGTTTCCTCCCTGGCTGTTCAGAGCCTGCAGCATGGGCGTGGCTGGGACCCCAGGCTGGGCGGGGAAGGGGCCCTGTGCCCAGCATGCCAAGCCACAGGCCCTGGGGAGCTGATAGCTGTCTGTCCTGTGCAGAGAAGGGCAGCAAGCCGGCCTCCAAGGAGAAGAAGAAGAAGAAGAAGAAGAGCAAAGAGGTATCGGGCAGTGTGGCTGGGGGTGCCCATCACCAGGTTGCCTGCTAACTCTGAGGCCCCCTCCCAGGAGGAAGAGAAGGCCGCCAAGAAGAAGAGCAAACACAAGAAGAGCAAGGACAAGGACGAGGCCAAGGAGGAGCGGCGGAAGAAGCGGAAGCCGCCCCGCAGCAAGGAGCAGAAGGCTGCAGACGAGCTGGAGGCTTTCCTTGGGGGCGGGGCCCCCACTGGCCGCCACCCAGGGGGTGGGGACTATGAGGAGCTGTAGGCCTGTGCAGCTGACCTCCCTGGGGGACTGAGGAGGCCACCACCTGCGCCCAGCCCCAGAACTACCCCTGCCGCTGCCACCTGGCCCCTGTGGCCGTAGCCGGCCTGTCCTGCATTTGCTTCCTGCTGGAGGAGGCCCTGGGCTGGGTGCTGCAGGTGCTGGGCCTCAGGCCAGCACGAGCCTGCTATGCAGGGAGGAGAGGGACGGCAGGGCTGCCGCTGGCAGGGCAGACGCCTGGCCCTTCCCAGACAGGGCCAAGGCCAGCCCCCAGCATTTCTCAGGGATGTCACAGGCCGAGGAAGGACCCATGAGGGTCGTTTACAGAGGCAGGGCACGGGGCTGCCCAGCTACTCAAAACATCTACTCCCTGCCCACCCCTGCTTGCCTCCCAGGCCGTGGGGCCACAGCATGCCATGGGCTCAACTGCTGCTGCCAGGCTTGGGCTGTAGACCACGGCTCCACGTGCACTGCGGGTGCTGTGGCCCCTGCCCTGCGTGCTCCTGGGCCTGTGCCTGCCGAGGCTGGCAGGAGCAGAGCAGCAGCCGCAGCCTCTCCTGGGAGTGGGGTTGGGCAGCAGACGCCACCACCACACTCCACTCGACCATAAAGCTCTTGGGTTTTATTGCTGTGTGTGTCTCTTCTCTCTCTGAGTTTCCCTGACCACCTGTGGGAACAACCCCCCGCCCCCCGCTTTGGCCAGGGCTCTCTGGGGCACGGGGCCATCTGGCAGTGCTGGCCTGAGGTGGGCTGAGTACCTTCCACCCAGCGCCCCGCTTGGGCCTGTGATGTACTAGCGCAACCTGCTGTACCAATAGGCCAGCACTTGGGGTGCGTGCTAGGCCAGTGCTGCACCGCTGCACCCAGGACACCAGGGCCCAGCCCTGTGGGACAGAGTCAGGTGCCTTCCCTGGGCAGCCTTCCAGCTCCTGGGCAGCCGCCTGCAGCTCACACTCACCCCCACCCACCACAGTTCCGTTGCCATGAGAACCCTCCGGGGGCTGTAGTGATGGGGGGTTGGGCTGTGCTCCAACTCCTGCCCACCTCCCCAAGTCCTCAGGTTCCTGTTGGGGAGCCTTTGCTCCAAGGCACCACTGACACCTTAGCTTGACCCTGTAGCCCCTAGCTTGGGGGGCCCCTGGTGTGGGGACCACACAGAAGAGCTGTGGTGGGTCTCACTGGGGCCAGCATCCCACAGGATGCAGAATGCAGGCCACCAGTCTGCCCTTCAGAGCTGAGGCCATCTGGGCCACCCCCCCAGCGGGCCAGGGTGCACCAAGGCTATGTCGGCACAGGGCTGGGTGGGGACATCACCCCGTGGCTTGGGCATGGTTCACACACAGACCTGCCCAGTGGGGTGTGCACAGTGGTGGCTGGCCTGACCTGGACAACAGGCCCTTCTTGGTCCAAGCCGGCCATCTGGCCTTTTGTACCTGCCGAGATCTTGTCAATTCTGGCTCTGAAGCGGATAGTGCCCAGTTAGAGGGCAGCAGGACCAGAGTCGCCCATCTGCTCCTGCCTGGCCCGACTGGAGGCTGGTTTTCTGGGAGCCCTGGCCAGGCTCTGCAGCCTGGCTGGGGTTGGGGCTCCTCAGCACCCTATCAGAGGCCCTGCCTGGCCACCAACTGCCAGGACAGGTGTCCTAGAAATAGGGCTGGCATAACGGCAGGCTTCTCTGGAGCATGGGCTCCCTGCTAAGAACCCGAGACTTGTATTTGGGGAAGCTAGAGGCATTTATCACCCTATGCTCAGCACGGCCCCAAATCACAGCCAGCTGGGAGCCTCTTGTCTTTGGGCTCCCTGCACGGCCCCATCAGGTGCGGCTCCTTTAAGTGCCACCCCGTTGGCCGCCACTGGAGGCAGCACTGAGCGGCCAGGCCAGGACCAGCACTGCTGCCTCAAAGCTTCTCCGGTGCTGGGGACGCAGGGGTGCCGGAACCTGGTGCAGCCGCCTTCTGGTTGCGCAGCCCACCTGGGTTGGCGGGGGGAGCAACACCCAGGTAAGAGGCGGGGGGGATGACTTGGCGTGCTGTTGTCATGGGTGGGGGCTGCCCGAAAGGATGGGGAGTCCCTGCCCCCAAGCAGTACAGGCCAGGTCCCCGCGATGGCCGCTCCCGACAGGCTGGGCCGGGCTACAAGGAGGGGCGGGCTGTGTGGCCGTCCACGTGAGCTCTGGAAGATCTGGGGTCCCAGGACCACTCACCCCACCCCCATCCCCATAGGGAGGGGCGTTGGAGCGCAGCTCCTGACAGCCGCAGTGGCAGAGCCGGCTATCACCTCCCTGGGGCGGAGCCTCCTGCCCTGTCATCAGCCCAAATTCTAGCCTGGCCTAGAGCTTAGGATGAAAGTCCAGACGGGGTGTGCAGGAGACTAAGATGGGGATACAGACTGGTACTTAGTGGCCATGACCCCAAAGAGCAGCCATGCCTCCAGGAAGCCCCAGTACCCCTGGGACACCGAGGGCTGACCCCGGGGAGGTGTCCAGCTACAGTCCTGCCAGGTGAGGGCACGGCAGGCTGTTTCCCCAGCGGACCTCGGAGCAGCCGCCCCAGAGTGGGTGCTGGGCTCAGGAGGGGGCGCAGCCATCTCCTGAAGCCTTTCCCGGCCAGCCCCAGGCCCTGGAGACTGCAGAAGCTCTGGTGGCCCACATCTGAAGGCGAGCCTGGACCCAGCCCAGCCTGCAGCCGGGGGCTGAAGAACCGCAGGTTTCCATGGAGCTTGCAGAGCTGGAGTGGGGAGGGATCTCCTGGGAGCTTTTGCTGCCTCCCACCCGCCCCCCAACGCCCCCCTCCCGGGCTGGCAGCCTCCTGGCCTGGTGCAAGAGCTCCATAGCTCTTGAGCTCACAGATCAGGGAAGGAGGCGTTATGAGCTCGTGGCTCACACCTCACGTGCTCCTGCAGCCTGCCCCGGCTCCCGCAGCCATGCACACACTGGAGGGTGTCTGAGTGCACCTTGCACAGCTGGTGGGGGTGGCTTCACAGTCTCCCTGATAAGGTAGGTAGCTTTCAGGCCCCCTCAGGGTAGCCGGGACCAGGGAAGGTTTCCGCAAAGGGAACTTAGAGACCCAGGAATGCTCTTTGCAGACATTTTCCTGGCTTGGGTCACACTGGGAGTTGGGACTCAGGCCACAGCCAGTGTCCCAAATGCAAGGACCCCTGTGGCACTAGGGGAGGGGTCTGCTGAGCTGATCAGCAGGAAGGTGGACCCTGTTGCCTCCCACAGGCTGCACTGCCAAAGCGGCCACTCTCAGGGCACTGTGAAGGGCCGCAGTCATAGGCATCTGGTGGAACCAACCCCAGTACATGCATCTACAGAAGCCGAAAAGAGCCCCTCATTCCAGCTGTGGGCACCAGAGGGCAGCAGTCCTACCTAAGGCCTCCTGTGCTGCCTGGTCAGCCAGGAAAGGGGTCCTGCCAGAGTGGGGAGCGGGGTGCTCGAGGCAGGACCCACAGAAGGCTAAACCTTCTGCCTGGCCTGGTGGGGGTCAGGTTTCTCCTGCAGGTGCCTCTGACTTTGATGGCATGGACCAGGCTCCGGCAGCAACGGCCGAGGCCTGCAGCCAGGGCTGCTCCACCACCGTCACCCCAGGTAGGAAGGCCCAGGGCCCGGGGTGGTGAGCGGAAGGGACCCGGAGGGGAGGGCTGACCCGCGTATCCCCCCAGGGCAAGAGCCCCGAAAGGCCGAGTGACTGGAGCCGCCAGCCTGGGGATATCTTTTAAGATGACCCGCACGGACCCGCCGGATTTGCTGGTGTCAACCGTGTACCAGGACATCAAGGTGGCGGCCCCGGGGCCCGCGTCCAGGCGCCAGCCATGTGAGCGCCCCGTGGCCCGCTCCGCTGCGCCCGCGCCCTTCAACAAGCGCCACTGCCGCAGCTTCGACTTCCTGGAGGCGCTGGACGCGCCAGCCATGGAGACCCAGCCCGAGCCACCGCCCCCCGAGCCCGCCGTGCCACGCGCCCGGCCCCGAGACGGCGAACCGCGGCGCCGTGCGCGCTCCAAGAGTGCACCCCGCGTATCCCCTGGCCTGGCGCCCGCACCCGCCTCGCCGCCCATCCTGCAGCGGCGCGCCCGGGAAACCCAGCGCGCGGCGCAGGCTGAGGGGTCGCCGCGCCGGGAGCCCGGGTACCCTGCGCTCCGCGCACTCGCCAACGAGCTGCACCCCATTAAGCTGCAGCCGCAGCGGGGCGGCCCGGGCCGAATCGCACCCCTGTGCCCCGCCCCCGGCCGCTGCGCACCACCCGCGGGGCCCGTGCCCCATGTCCGCTGCCGCCTGGACATCAAGCCCGATGACTCGGTGCTGCAGCACGCGGCCCGGGGGTCCCGGCCTTGCGGGCCCGCCGAGGCCGCGCCCTGGCCCCGTGCTGTCCCGCAGTTCCACGGCCTCACGGTGCCTGGGCCTCGCCATGCATTGCTGTCGCGCACCCCCACCCCCACAGACTCGTACTGTGCGGACCCCCGCGCGCTGTTCTGCGATGGGCCGCTGCCAGGGCCCCGGGACTACGCCGAGCGCCGCGGTCAGCTCTTCACCGCGGCCCCGGGCCCCACCCAATTCTTCTACACAGAGGAGCCGGAAGGCTTCCGGGGAGGCTTTGCTGGCAGCCCGGGACCCCCCTTCGAGGGCTACTGCCCCCGGCCTTACCCGGCTGAGGAGCCCCCGGAGCCCAGTCCGCGGCGCGGGGGCGGCTACTATGCGGGGGAAGTGCGAACCTTCCCGATCCAGGAGCCGCCCTCCCGCTCCTATTACGGGGAGGTCCCCAGAGCCTACGGCCTGCCCTTCGGTCCCCGCTATGTCCCCGAGGAGCCCAGGGTGGGCCCTGCCACCCGCCCCTTCTACACCGAGGACTTTGGTCGGTACCGAGAGCGCGAGGTCCTAACGCGGACCTACCCGCACCCGCGCAGCAGCCCGGCCTGGGCCGACTGGGGCCCGCGGCCGTACCGCACGCTGCAGGTGGCGCCTCCCCCGGCTCCCGGGCCCCTGCTGGCCTCTTGGCACGGAGGCACCGGCACCAGCCCTCCGCGGCTGGCCACCGACAGCCGCCACTACTCGCGCTCCTGGGATAATATCCTGGCGCCCGGGCCGCGCCGCGAGGACCCTTTGGGCCGCGGCCGCAGCTATGAGAACCTGCTGGGGCGCGAGGTGCGGGAGCCGCGGGGCGCGTCCCCCGAGAGCCGGCGCCCTCCGGTTGTGGTGAACCTCTCCACCTCGCCCAGGCGCTACGCGGCGTTGTCGCTGTCCGAGACGTCGCTGTCGGAAAAGGGCCGCGCCGGAGAGGGCCTGGGCCGCAACTGGTACGTGACGCCAGAGATCACCATCACCGACAACGACCTGCGGGCGGCGGAGCGCCCGGCCACCAGGGGCTGGGAGCTGCCCGGGGGCCGCACGCGGCCGCCCGCTCCCGCCGCGCCCGAGCCTGCCTCTGGCCGCCAGCGCAGCCTCGAGCAGCTGGACGAGCTCATCACCGACCTGGTCATCGACTCCCGGCCCGCGGCTGGCCAAGCCCCAGAGTCCGTGCCCGACGGCCTGGGCCGCCCGCTGCGCCGCAGCCTGCTGGACTCGCGGCCGGTGGGCCCCGGGGCCTCTGCCCTGGCGCCGCCGCGCTCGCCCCCCGCGTCAGCTGGTAGCGCCGAAGAGCCCGCGGCCCCAGGGGAGGCTGCCGACGCGTCCCCGGAACCCAGCGCCGACGAGGACGACCTGATGACCTGCTCGAACGCGCGCTGCCGGCGCACGGAGACCATGTTCAACGCCTGCCTCTACTTCAAGTCGTGCCACAGCTGCTACACCTACTACTGCTCGCGCCTGTGCCGCCGCGAGGACTGGGACGCGCACAAGGCGCGCTGTGTGTACGGCCGCGTGGGCAGCGTGTGCCGCCACGTGCTGCAGTTCTGCCGCGACAGCGGCCCGGTGCACCGCGCCTTCTCGCGCATCGCGCGCGTGGGCTTCCTGTCGCGCGGCCGTGGCGTGCTCTTCCTGGGCTTCCCCAGCCCAGGCTCGGCTGACAACTTCCTGCGCTTCGGCCTCGAGGGGCTGCTGCTGTCGCCCACCTACCTGTCGCTGCGCGAGCTGGCGACTCACGCGGCACCCCTGGGCAGCTACGCGCGGGAACTGGCAGCCGCCGGGCGCCTCTACGAACCGGCAGAGTGCTTCCTGCTCAGCGTGTCAGTGGCCGTGGGCCCCGGCGCCGGAGCCTCCCACCCCGCGCCCGCGCCGCGCAGCCCCGGCCCCACGGTGCGTAAATTCGCCAAGGTGGCACTGGCAGCCGGAAGCCCGGCGCGGCCGCCTCCCGCGCGCACCCGCGAGCCCGACATGGAGACGCTGATCCTGACACCGCCACCGGGCACCGCGGGCCTGGACCAGGAGGGCGAAGCGGGCCGGCGGGCACGCGAGGTGGCTTTCATCCACATCCAGCGCGAGCTACGGCTGCGTGGCGTCTTCCTGCGCCACGAGTTCCCGCGAGTATATGAGCAGCTCTGCGAGTTCGTGGAGGCCAACCGGCGCTTCACGCCCACCACCATCTACCCCACGGACAGGCGCACGGGCCGCCCGTTCATGTGCATGATCATGGCTGCGTCCGAGCCGCGCTCACTCGACTGGGTGGCCAGCGCCAACCTTTTGGACGACATCATGTGAGCCACCAGACCAAGTCCCAGGCCCACTGGAGCCGGGCCCCCGCTTCTCCTTCGACCACCCACCCCACCCCGTGTTCCGAGCCCTGCCCACCCCCCACCCCCCATCCCCGCCCGCAGCTCTGGCAGGTCCCAAGCCCCGCCCCTCCTCATCCCCTCCGCTAATCCCCAGGGCCCTGGCCATCCTCCCCGCAGCCCGCGGGCCCGCCTCCAGGAGACTCCACCTCCCACGCCCTCAGGTCCCCAGAGGCCGGTCCTCGCCCTCGGTGCTCCCCGCTGGGAGGCGGGGTGGGCCTGAGGACCTCGGGGCCCTGCCTTCACTCCGAGGCGGGTCTCTTGGCAAGACCCCAGCAATGGAAATTCGATTCCAGTCCATTGCATCTCGGGATTCCGCTGAGCCTCTGAAACCCGGGCTCCCCAGCCGTAGGTCAGGGAGCCCCTGCTGACCAAAGCCTAGTGTCACTTTAAGCATGCCCCAGACCGCCTGCTGTCCCAATTTGTCCTGCTCCAGGCTTCCTCGAGGGAGGCGGAGAGTGCTCTGGGTAGCCTGCTTGCTCCGTGCCCGGACAGAAACCCAGGAGTGCCTCTTGGCAGCCCTAGACCAGCCCCAGCCAGGGCGACTGGGATACTCCAAGCACCGGAGGACCTGGCAGGGGGAGCAGAGCTTGTGGACTGGGGATGCCAGCCAGAGCCAAGATCCGTCTGGGTGAGGGTTGGAGCACCTTCCCTAGGCAAATGGCAGGGCAGAATAGGGCTGTGTGACCACACAGGCCCATTTCTCCCAGGGTGGCTGGACATGTGTGCAGGCGCAGGACCCACATGGGGTTAAGTGCAGAGGCCCTTCAGGAAGTGCAGTTCACCACCTGGCCTAGGATGACCTAATAGCAGGGCTGGGAGCAAGGTGTGGGCACGTGTGTCCAGGACCCAGGGCCACCCGAGGAGCGCGTGACCTGCCTGAGTCATAGCCTTGACTGCACCCTGGTCCCCATGCCCTTGCCCTGGCTACACCCCGAGCTGCGAGGTGGGGCCTGAGCTTAGTGCGTTGTGGGTTCTGCTGAAGGAGGGGTGTCCATCTCCGGGGTTCCATGGGAGGCACACGACAGGGAGGGGGCAAAGCCAGGCGCTGCACAAGGGCTCTCCCGGAGCCCCAACCCCTCTGGACCCCGGGCAGGGGACCTCGAGTGGAGAAGCTGTGGCCCCGCTCAGTCCCGCCCCGCCTGTGCCTGCCCGCGGGTTTGCACACAGCGGCGGCCTTCGCCGCTCCCCCAGTCTCTTCAGCTCTAGTCCGTGCCTGGGGTCCGGCAAGATTGCCCGGGACCGAGGTCATTGCCTGGGCGCGAGCGCTTTCCAACCAAGTAAAATAGAACTTGAATGTACCCGCGTTTGTCTCTTCCTTAGGGGGTCGCGGATCGAGGTCTTCCGAAGTGGGGTAGGGGCAGGGGTCAGGGAGGAAGGCCCTGGGCGAGGCGCGGGAGGTCGTAGGGGACGGAGGCCTTGGTGCTCTCCTGGGGATCGAGACAGAGGTTCTGGGATGGAGATGTCGGTGATGGGGGCCCTGGGACTGGTGGCGGGGCGGCCAGCACGGGTCCCTGGGACTTCGCCTGTCCCGATCGCGGGTCGCCTGACTGCCCCATTCCACCCGTGCGACTCCGGACCCCAGAGGAAAAGAGCTTTTCTGTCGGCCGCATTTAATCACCTCTCCTCCTCAGTTCACGGTCCCTTTAAGTGGGACGGAATGGTTCCAAAGCTTCAAGGAACTGGATTGCGATTGGCTACACCGCGTCTAGTGCGGTCGGTGCGATTGGCGGAAACTCCGGGCCTCGGCAGCATCGGCCCGCAGGATTGGCTGCAGCTGTCGCGGCCCGGCTCGGTCTGACAGGGGCGAGCCGGGTGCGGTAAGGGGGCGCGGGACCCACGGGCCGGGCGCTCTGAGGAACATGGCGGCGGCGGACCTCGCTCAGATTCCTGATGTGGACATTGACCCGGAGGGCGTCTTCAAGTACGTGCTGATTCGAGTCCACCCGGCGTCGCCCTCCGGGACCTCGGCTGGGGAGTGCAAGGAAATCGTGCGCGGCTACAAGTGGGCCGAGTACCACGGTGAGGCGGGTTGGAGGCGGGGCCGGGGCGGGGCGGGGC